CAGACCCTGTACCAGACAAAGACATATGAGATTTTTTTAAAAACTTAAAATTACTAGCTCTTTCCTGATTTTTATTCTAATTTGATCGGAAAGGACTTTGAAGAATATCCTGTGGCGGAAATGTGATGGTTAATGAAAAAGTTCAATACTTAATATACCTAATAATTCATTGGGTCCTTCAAGACTGTAGTTTTTAAGGGTAATTACTATATAGTTCCATGTAAGTTAGAGAAACTTTGAGGAAATATGTTTTCAGTTATTTTCAGAGATTATTTTTACTTACTCCAGGGAATATTTCCTGTTAACTTATAAGACCATTTTTCTGGGGGTGGGGGTGGGGAAAAAAGGACTATTTTTCTTTCTTAGATTTAGAAGTAGGCAAAAATAAATAATTTTAAAAGTTAAAAATATCTTTCCCAAATTTAAAGAACCAGTCCAAAAATGGGCATCTGAAATGAGTGAACACTTCTCAGATGAAGTACAAGCAGCAAATGAGTACATGATAACAATGTTCACATCACTGCTCATTCGAAAAATGCAAATTAGAACAGCACTGAGATTTCATCTCACTTTTGAAGGAATAGCTGTTATCAAGAAATCAACCAATAACAAATGTTCGTGCGCTGGAGATATCGCTCAATATCCAGGTACCAAAAATAATAAACTCCGTAAGCCGTGGGGGAAAAGCAGCGCTTCTCCACTGTTGGTGGGAGTGTAAATTGGTACAGCCGCTACGGAAGTGAGTATGGAGATGGCTCAAGAAACTCGACCTAGAGATTTCGTTTGAGCCAGCTATTTTCTTTCTTGATGTCTTCTGAAAGAGTCAAATACATCATGCCACAGTGATACATACAGACCTGCGCGTATAGCAGCGCAGTTTGTAAATTCCTTGTTTGGTTTTAGTGCCAGGGATTGAGCCTAGAGCCTTGTGCTTGCCAGACAGGTGCTTCAGCCACTGAGCTAAGTTTATAGCTTCTTCTTTGTGAGGAACCGTGAAGGTAAATAAGAACCAAAATGCATGATAGATATTGGGAATTGGGAAGAAGATGTTCAAACAGGAAGGGAAACAAGGTGGGGAGGGGCGGGCAGAGAGGAAAGAAGGAGAAGCAAAGCTTTTGTAAATAAGGGGGGAAGTAGAAGTAGGGGGAAGAATCAGGTTACATTGTGTGCAAGTACAGATTACCAACAATGAATGTGGTAACTATGTATATCAAAAGTGTATCAATAAAAATGTGTACTAGTGCAATTAAAAATAAACAGAAAGTTTAAAAAATGTTATTTAGGAGGAACTCTGAAACCATACCAGTGCATAGGAAGTTCCTAAATAACTGCACTTAGAAAAATAGTACATTTTCAAAGAGGTTGGGATAGATATATAGTTGCACTCTCTTAATGAATAGAATGATTTGTTCTAATGGTGTTTGTAAATAGGATCACAAGTCCGCATCTTGTACAGCAATTAACCACTAAGAAGAATATATGCAGTGTATTATTTGTTGAAACTGTACTTCCGATTTGATTTGAAACTGTCTCATTGCTGTTTATCAATAAAACTTTGAAAAAAAGAAAAATAGTACATTTATAGTGACAGATCTTTCTCTAGCTTCTGAGAGATCCAAAAGTTGGGTTTTTAAAAAATCTTATATGAAATTCACAAAACTCAGGTTAAAATATTTCAGTCATAGGTGGTATAATACAAGTTGTGTTCTGGGCTCTCAGCCAGTGACTCCCAGTCAATGGTGGAGGTGCTTTTGATCTGCCATTTAGATTCAATATTGTACGAGTCTGGTGACATCTTTTGATTATGTTTAGCACAGTTGCAAAACAAAGTATCCATAGGATAAAAGTATAGATCATTTTTGCTTTATTGGGGAAAATTCAAGATAGAACTAATTCTAAGTAGTAAAAGCATTTTGAAGCTTAGCAGCAATTTAATTGCATTACTACTCATGTTGTACATGTGCTGTTTGCTACCAGTATTTTAATTTTGCTTGTTTGTAGGTAGTGGATAAGCATTAAGATTGTTTTTAAAAATGGCTCAGATGGGCGGGCCACATAGCTCAGTGGGGAGGGGGTGTCCATCCCGCCTTCCCGGGCTGTGCTGAGACAGCAGTTGAGACTGGGCGTGGTGGCGCCCCATGCCTGTAATCCCAGAACACCCTGTAAACCCTTCCCTAAATACAAAAAAAGAAAACAAAAAACCCCTTAGATTTCTGAAGGTTTACAAAGTATTTTACTGTATTTATAAACATGTTTTTCAGTTTTTATGTGTCAACCAGTAAAAGTTTGAAAAACAAAAACACATATATTCAGTAAGAGCATTTCTTCAGATTTTGAATGTGGATCTTTTCTTAAGCTAGCCCTATGTGTGTAGTATTATTTTGGTACTGGGGAATTGAACCCAGTGCCTTCATACGGAGCTACAGCGCTAGCCTTTTTTTTGTTCTCACACTGTGTGTCAGTAGCTAAGGTGCTCGGCCTTATTTAGTGTCCCATAGTACTGTCTAGCATGGTCTAGTGCTCTGGAAATGCTGGGCAGTACCCGTGAGCTGTAGTTCGTTGCCACCCATTTGATTAGAAGCCACAACGCTCCATACACATACTGTGTTTCTAAACTGCGGGGTTTAGTATTAGGTACATTTTGAAAAACGAATCTTGTTACCATCTACCCTTTTGAGACTGGTGTATTTATTCAGATTCATTCAAGTTGTTATATGTATTAATACTTTTTATTGCTAAGAAGTAGTTCATTGTGTAGATGTACCATAATTTTTCTGACCATTCAGCTTGTCTCCAGTGTCAAGAAATGTAAGATTTTGTGTGAACATGAGTTTGTATTATTTTAAGAAGATAGGGATGTCTTAATTACTCTTCTCTTGTTGCTGGGACAAATACCCGACACTCAAAATTAAAAAAGGAAAGGTTTAGTTAGCTCACAGTTGCTGGAGGCTTCAGTCCATACTCAGCTGGGTCCAAGGCAGAGCAGCACAGAGCAGAGGGCAACCTTTCATGGCGGCTGCAAAGAGCAAGCGCACAAGGGAAGAGGGAAGAGCGGCAGCTCAGGCAGCTGGCTTCTCTTCCCACCTCTTACCTGCCCCAGTGCAGGGGCAGCAGCCACACCCACAGTAATCAATCACAAACTCCAGAAGCTGCCCCAAGGCTGCATGAGGCTCTGGGGGGACACCTAGACACAAACCATAACAAGGTATAAATGGAACTGTTGTAGTGTGTGCTTAGTTTTACAAAAAGTAGCCAAACTATTTTCTGTACTGTGTGCAGTTTTTCATTTCTGATACAGTGAGCTCCAGTTGTGTTGCATCTTCCTTTGCACTTGATGCTGCCATGTTTGTATTGTATCCTTTCTGTGCTGTGCAGAGTAGCATTCCTTGAGCTCATTATTTATCTCCCTGGTGACTAAGGATAAGGAATATTTGGGGGTGTTTCCCTATCCTGTGTGCATCCTCCATGGTGACAGATCTATTAAACTCTGCTTAATTACTATTTTTAACTGTTAAGTCTCATGAGTACTACCTATAGTTTGGATGAAAGTCTTTTATCGGATGTGTAACTTGATACAGCTTGAATATTGTTTATTTGAAATGCTTGGAAAGAAAGGTTCTTTGCATTTTGGAGTGTTAGTGCAAGTTTTACTAGTTAAAAATCCCCAATATGAAATAGCAAAATCCAAGAACATTTGATCATCATGCCACCGCTCAGAAAGCCTCAAATCCTTGCCAGGTGTCACGGTGTCCTCCTGTTTCATCAGTACCTTGAGCGACTGGGGCAGAAGAATTTCAAGTTCATTGAGGCATCTTAGTAAGATGCTGTCTCAAAATAAAAAAGTGAGGGCTGAGGAAATAGTGTAGTGCAGAGGCCCTGTACTCAGACCCCAGCACCACCAGAAAGTAGCAAGTAAATAATAGCTTCAAAGTAGGCAACATTTCTGATACTTGAATTAGGGATACTGTTGTATCTACCACTTTGCAGCTTGTCTTTTTATTCTCTTAACAGAGCAAAAGTTTTTAATTATTGTAAAGTTCAGCTTGTTAGTTTTTAAAAAATATTACAGTTTTGGTGTGATGTCTAAGAACTTTTTTGGTTAATCTTAGACCGTTAAAATATTTCCTTTTATGTATTTAATTTTAGTTCTGTTTTACATGTAGAACTGCAGCTTGCTTTGAATTAATTCTTATGTAAAGTGTGAAATGTTGAGATTCCGTTTTCTCCCTTGACAGAATCTTGTTTCAATGCAATTTTGTAAAAATTAGTCCTTTCTCCAATAAATTATCTTTGTACCTTTGTTAACAGTCTTACATGTATGTTCATATTTTTGGACTTCCAGTTCTCTTTCATTGGTTGTCTCTAGTCATTAAACCTACACTGTCTGGATGACTGTAGCTTTACAGAATAGTGTTGGAGTTGGTAGTTTTCAAATAAATTCTTGGTCAAAACTGGTTTTATTATTCTAGTTTCTTGGCCATTGTCACCTGGTTAGCCTCTCAACTGCATTTTCGTTAACCATGAGTTATATTGTCAGAATACCAAATACTCTCTTAAAATAGGCAGTTCACAGGACTTGATGTTATCTTTATCATTACATTAAAATTTCCTATTAAACCTTTTCAGCTTTTTAGATGCCTTTTTGTTTCTTTCTGTGATTTCATTGATTTGTAACATTATAAACACAATAATGTTATTTTCAGTGTATGTAAATGTATCTTCTGACACATTTTCATGGTTTTTTTTTTTTCACTGTTTTATAAAACAAAATTGATTGTAAGAAAATGTTTGTATCCACTTTGGAATCATTAAGTGTATTAAAGTATGTATTTTATCTATATTCAGCTTGTATGTTATTACGTGATTAAAACTGTTTGACTAAAGTACAACTTTTAATACCTCAAGTCATTTTCAGTAGAACTATGAAATTGTGTAGTTTTGTACTTTTTTATTCTAGCACATAATACTCAGAAATATTTATATCTTCACTTCTGTTTTAGGTACGTATAGCAGCAAAATTCATCATTCATGCTCCTCCTGGAGAGTTTAATGAGGTTTTTAATGGTAAGTATTTAATTTGTAAAACTGTCTTGATATACCAACACTCTTTAAAGTATCCTAAAAAGGTATTCACTTTTTTAAAAGAAAACCCTAACTACCAAAATAAACTAAGAAAAGTGTGTAGGAAGACCTCAAGTCAGTAGCTGCCAAGGTTCTTGAACAGTTCAGAGAAGTAACCCTACATCACAGCCCCGTACTTTGGTATGTGCCCGTAATCCCAGCACTCTAGGAGCTGGGGCAGCAGGATGGCAAGTTTGAACTCAGCCTAAGCAATTTTGCAAGACTATGTTCTAAGAAGTTTTAAGAATTGGTAGTGTAGCTCGTGTGTGAAAGCCTTGGGTCCAATTTCTAGTACTGCCGAAAAAAAAAAAAAAAGAAAGAAAAGGAATTCTAAGAAAAACTACCTATGTAAAGTTCTTTCCCTGACTTACATGACTTGCCTATTTTTAAAATTCATCAGCACGGTCCAAAAAGAATGTATAAGTACTGAAAATTGCTATTGAAAGTGATTTGAAATTGGCTTTGAATCGGTATGTTGTGTGTTGAGGCACATTAAATTTGGATATTTAAATGAGCCATTAAATAGGCCTGGGATAAAATGACCTGTGGAGTGGAAGTGGGATATGAAATTATCTAATAACTTTCAGAAGGTACGTTAGAGTTAAAAGGAATAGTATATCTGAAAGTGAAATCTCTTCTGAATTTATTTTTGAGACTTTTTGTTGAAAATCTCCGTGTCAGAATGATTCCACAAGAATAAAAAAAAAATCTAAAAATTACAGTCATAAAATCTTACCAGTTCAGTGGTTCTTAAATCTGTTTTGTAGGCTTCCTATGGTAGAATCCCTGAAACATAGATGTGTGGTCTTCGGTCACAAAAACCAGTTGGTACCAACAGGCCTGTTTTTAAGCCTCCCATCCCACTGTGCGATTCCAAAGGGTATACTCGTCTGGCGTCATAGCCTTGTGCCCTCTGTAAGAGTAACATTTTATTTTACTCAACTTTTAAATCTGTTTCTTCCACTTGCTTATGACAGAGTATGTTATCTCTTTTCAAAGTAGAGCTTACCTGGCTCAAATAAATCTCACTTTTAAATTATTTCCCTGTTCGGAACTGTGAACGATAATTATCAGAAGATATAATCATTATATTTAGATTATTGAAAATAAAAATCATTTATCAAAAATAATTTCCCAATTTGTTTTTTGGGGGGATAAGAATAACCATAATTGTAAACACCTCTCATGTAAATAATTTAGGCAGAAATGTTCATATTTTAAAATCATTTAGTTTAGAAATTCAATGTTTTAATAACTAGCTAAAGAGTCTGTCTGTCTTTCTGTTTTTTTGTTTGTGTGTTTTGTTTTGAGCCAGGGTCCTGCTGTATAGTGTAGACTGGCTTTAGAACTCACTGTGTATCCCTGGCTGGCCTCGAACTTGGGGCACGCCTGCTGTCTCAGCCTACTGAGTGCTGGGATTACAGGCATGTGCCACCATGCCTGGCTTGAGAGATTGTTTTTCAAACCAGGGCCTATTGCTGAAAAGTTTGTGAATATACAATATTTTTTTCTTTTGAAACAGTTTTGGAAAGATTTCTAAAGTACAAAAAACAACTTAAAAGCCACGAAGTTCATTTTATACATAGTGATGCATATTTGTAATCTCAGCTGATCAGGAGGCTGAAACAGAATCGTAAGTTCAAGGCCATCTTAGATAACTTAGCAAGACCCTGTCTGAAAATAAAATTTTAAAAGGGGTAGAATGTCACTGCTTGCCTAGCATACTCAGATCTCTAGAATCAGTGTACATTACCACCACCAAAACACACACGCACACGTACACGCGCACATGCGCACACACGCTTGTACCACGGAATCTTAGTTCTCCATCTGAACCTTCCACATCTTTCAGCATACGCAGCAGTGTGTACATACGCAGATGCCATTCCTGCGAGTTCCCCTTCCTGTTTGTCACGTGATGAGTGTATTTCATGTTTATAGATAAGCAGCTACAGTTTTAGTGGATGTTGGGGTTTAGCAAGCTCCCATTGGTTTATAAGAACAATAGTCTGTTTACATATTTAACCAGTTTCTTAGTGGAAAATTCTTTGGTTATTTGTGTTTTCTTCTAGTTAAAAAAAGGTATTTTTTAATGTACTACATGATAGCAACTATATAAAATAGCCAAGCACTTAAGAAAAATAGTGAAAGAAAATATGTCAACACTAGAATAGAATTTTATTTACTAGTTGTGATAGTTTTCTTGTTGCTGTGACAAAATACCTGACACCCGAAATTGAAGGAAGAAAGCTATATTGAGCTAACAGTTTACAAGAGTTTCGTCCTGTAGTTATCTGGCCCAAGGCAGGGTGGCACCCAGGAGAGGGGCACCAGTTCATGTGTGCAGAAGGTAGCAAAAGCACCAAAGGACCTTAATAATTTCTTTCTGCCCCTTTGATCTTATTCAGGCTACTCAGGGCAGTAGGATTCACTCTGAGTCCTAGGGCCTGTGAGCACCATGAGTCAGTGCCGAGGTCACACACTCTAGATTCAGCCGCCTTTCTTAAAGCCACGCAGTACTGCGTGAGGCTCTAGGGGACATCTAAACACAAGCCATAACACTGATGAAGTATATACAGTTTCTGTTAAGTTACTGGATTTTCCAATAAAAGTACTATAATTTTTTAATGATTAATAGTCAAATGTCTATATAATAATACATTCTAAAATTAGGACATTATTTTCTGTGGTTACATCACTTTGAAAACAACCAGCTTCCTCTTTATTTTTATTTTTATTTTGCAGAACCAGGGATTGAACTCGGGCCCTTGCGCTTGCCAGGGAAGCTCTTATTCTACTGAGCCATTTCCCGGCCAGCTTCCTCTTTAAAATTAGGACAAATTAAGAATCAACCAAAGGGGCTGGAGAGATGGCTCAGTGGTCTAAAGCACCTACTTGGAACAAGCTTGGCAAAGCACAGGGACCGCGGTTCAATCCTCCAGCACCACATGCCGGCCAGCCGCGCCCCCTGGTGGGCTGAGCTGGCCACACACACACACACACAATAAATAAATGTTAAAAAAAAAAAGAATCAACCAAAGAAAGATTAAGTTAAAGATATTAAAATTAATTATCTGTTATTTGAATATGATCTGTCAAATGAAAAAGATGTCTGTGTATGTAGACTGATCACAAACTGTCATTGTTTAGTCACTTTTTTTTGTATTTTAGGGAAGGGTCTACAGGGTGTTCAGGGTCTCACTACTAGCATAGTGATCTGCTTGTTTACAACCACCCAAGAGCTGGGATTACAGGCACGCGCCACCATGCCCAGTCTCAGTCGCCATCTCAGCCCTCCTGGGGTGGGACTGGCACAGCAGGCCTGGGGATCAAAATTTTTTTGTTGTTGTTCTTCACTTTTTCTATAGAGCAGATTTAAAACTGGTGATTGTATTGTGAAACTAAGAGGCACAGTTTGCACTTTTTTCTGCAGATCTTAGTATGCCATTTTTCTGATACAGCTTATCTGTACCTTTGTTATTCGGAGATACAGTGCATTCTATCTGCTGTTAAGAATACAAAATTACATGTTGTTCTGCTGAATTTCCTTGTGTGTTTTCTAACTGAAATCTCTTTAAAATACAATGCTGTATATTTGTGGATATTTTGATCATTTAGAATGACATTTTGATCTTGCTTACATTTGGGGTGAGGGTTGTTAAATTCATAACAATCTGCATTGCATACGTTCTTCAAACATAAATAATAGAAAATATAATATTTGTTTTGCAGATGTTCGGTTGCTGCTGAATAATGATAATCTCCTCAGGGAGGGAGCAGCCCAGTAAGTATTTATTTATTTATTTATTTTTAAAATATTTATTTATTTAGTGTGTGGCCAGCTCAGCCCACCAGGGGGCGGGGCAGGCTGGCATGTGGCGCTGGGGGATTGAACCGAGTTCTCTGTGCTTTGCTTGAGCTTAGCTTGTTCTAAGTAGGTGCTTTAGACCACTGAGCCATCTCACCAGCCCCCCAGTAAGTATTTAATATTAACAATTAAAGTGGCCTAGGAAAAGATGTTGTAAAAGTGGTATTTAAGCACAAATCCCTGGTACAGAGATTTGAACATCACAGTGTTTTTTCATTTTCCCAAACTGACACTTAATAACTCCCCATTTCTTACGCCTGGCAACTGCACTAGTCTACTTGCTATAAATGTCACTACTTTAGATACTTAAGTGGAGTAGTATATAATATTTGACCTTTATGACTAGTTTAAAGTGCTTTGTTGAAATTGGTTTATTTTATACTTTCACTTTAGTTAACAGCTTTTACATAGATTGACCACATCTAAGCATTGTTGAAAGTTTTATATGTTCAAGGAAGATTAATTTTCTTTATAATAGCAATTTTATGTTGATGAAATTGTTTTGTGGATTCAAATAAGTCACGTAACAACAGTACTTTGAAAGTAATTTCCAAAAAAAAAAAAGAAAGTAATTTCCTCTGAGTTCTGTGCTAACTTACTTGATTTCATGTAAATGTAATAATTAGTGGATTTTTTTTCACTTTAGAAACAAAATTTTCATTGAGTTCTTCAGAATAAAGATTAATGACAGTAAGAGAAACATCCGTATTTAAGTCGGAGTCAGGATGAATGAATGTACTTGAGTTTTCTTGTTCATCCTGACAGTTGTTGCAAGCGAGGTTTCTTTTATTATAAAGCAGTTTCTTGGACGGCTGTGACACATACTTCAAGAGGTGGGCACGTTGAAGTAGAACATACAGTACTTTGATCTCTTAAGGGAAATAAAAACTTTCAGAAATAAACTATGGTGGAACAGTCATATTTATAGTATGTGATCCCAAGTAAAACACCAAAAGCTTTATAACATGCACTTCGATTTTCTTGGATGTGTTTATACTTTCTGTAGGTGTTTGCTGCCTAGATGAACTAGTAGAGAAAACAAATGTGGACTTCATATTCTTTGTACCCACTTTCTTGAAACTAATCACTGTGATCATTTTGTAGAAATCTAAAGGTTTCTGTAAAGTATGGAAATGCATTCTAAACTAGGAAATGAATTTATAATGATACCATTCCAATTAACAATTTTAAAACAAAAGTAGTGTTACCCAGTATTTCCCTTAATTCTAAATTACTTTTGAAATATCTAAACCCTCGAAATAAGATGATTTTCACTGTCTTATTACTTTCTCATCACTGGGACGAAATATCCAACACAAAACAAATTAAAGAAGGCCTTTCCCGTGGCTCCTGGTTTAGGGGACTCAGTGCATGGCTCACTGCAAGACAGAAGGGTGTGACCAGCGTATGTGGCAGAGGAAAACTGCTTGCCTCATGGGGACGAGGAGCCAGGGAGTAGAGAGGGGGCTGGGGGTGGAGCACCTGCCTCCTGCGATCAGGCCCCATCGCCTCATCCCCCAGGTAACTGTGGGTGTGGTACCCTCATTACTCAGTCACCTTTGGGAGTACCCACCTCTGAAAATGGGAGGCTTTAAAGGTGCATTCTAGCTTCAAACCATAGTGTTCCCTTCTAGGCTTTAGGAAGACTTGTGTCTGTAGCTATCTCCAAGTGTTACCAGAGCTTTAGTAGTTGTGGCTTTGCTGCAGTTTTCAAGTCGAAAGTCTTCTGTGATACTCAAGGCAAGCTTAGCTGTGAGCCCCTGTAAAAATCAGAAGGAAAGTGAAATACTTCTAACATACAATGACAAATGGTAAATATTCCCATTTCAAAAAGGAGAAATACAGGAATAGAGAGGAATCAGACCAAAGCCTAGCAGAGTAAATGATAAACCTTGTACTTTCATGTCCAGCACCCAGGGCAAATTGTGGTGAGATGTAAGCTTCACAGGGCTTGGGAAGCCCTCTTCCAACCCATTATCAGTGCAGGCATTATGGCCTCTTTTTTGTTTGTTTGGTACCAAGGATTGAACTCGGGACCTTGCACTTGTCAGGCAGGTGCTTAGGCTGCTGAGCTGTCTCCCCAGCTCAGTGACCTCTTTCTTGAGATGGCTATCTACTGATGCCTCAGTAGACACGGCACATTGCCTGGCTTCTCCAACTTCTTGGGGTCTTCACCACACTTCTGGATTCTCTTTCAAAGTTTCATGGACTACCCTCTCAGGAGTATAATGCCTGGCCTCTCTGGCCTTTTAAATTCTTGGTGGAAACTTCCTTGGCCCCACAGCTCTTACATTTGCATTCCTATAAGCCAGCAAAATATATGGATGATTCCATGGTCTACCTTGACCAGTAGCCGGGCCCCCTTGGCATAGCTGCCTTGATTCCTAACACTGTACATCTCCAGGAACCAGTTCCATAGGGAGCCCTTCTTGAGCAGGGTGTCTGAAAGTACTGGTGCTTGCCTCTTGAATTTGTGAGGGTGAGATCTTGTTGATTCCTCAGGTAGCTTCGGCTTCCACCTATTATCCTGATACAAAGTACTTATTTTTCATGCTAATTTTTTTAATGGTCTTGCCCTCCTTTGCTAAACTTTGTAGTATATGTTTTTGGGGATACTCCATACTTTTCAAATGGGTATTTTGGCTCCTGATTTTCCCTATAAGTCTGACCAAAAGTAGCTAGAAGTACCCAGGCCACAGCCTGCACATTGGGCTGCCTTGAAATTTCATTTAGATTAATCTACCACCCTTAATCTCAGTCTCCCATAGTATCTCAGGACATGGGCAAAATATAGACAAATTCCATGCCAGGGTATAGCACACATGGCCTCTAGTCCAGCTTGTTTCCAACTGAAACCTTCTGAGCCTGGCCTTTACTGTACACTTTTCTATTAGCATTCTGGTTTTCTGAGCTTTCCCATCAAGCTTGCCCTAAAGCATTGTAGAGTTTAACTAGCATGTACAAATCTTTCAAATCTTCCTGAAAACTAGTTTCAAAGGCTTCTGAGTCATATGGTCAGGTATCCACATGTCTTATCTGCATATTTGGTATCAATATTTGTTTAGCCGTTTTCTTTTCACTGGGCCACAAACCTGACTCCCATAATTTAAAAACAGGAGTGATTTATTTTGGCTTATGGTATCTAGAATATTTAGTCCATAGTCTACTGGCTTCAAGAGGGGTGCTTGGAGGAACAGTCTGCTTACATTATAGTGGTCAGAAGCAGCAAAAGGAACAGCCAGGGAGGGAGATACTTCCAGGTCATGCCCCCAGCGCTCCACGACTCTTTCAGTTAGGCCTTTCAGTATAGATAGAAATTCATCATTCACTTCATCCTCTCATGAATATAGGACCCCTGTGACTCAGTTACCTTCCAAAACCCTTGCTTGGGAACACATGAGATTTCGGGAATATTTTAAATCTGAAATAGAAAGTTATCATTAAGCCTGCCCAAAATTCATAACATAAGCTTAAAAGGCATCCAAAAAAACCCACATTTGGGTACGCATCCTGGTGTAGGTTTGCTAGGGATAGCCAATAGCCATAGACTAAGGTTTGCTTCTTCAAAAATCACTTTTAAAAAAATGTTGAATTTCTTTTATATGTCTCTTTCCACATACTCATACGTTCCTTCCATCTTTGCCCTGTTGATTGAGATGAAGCAGCATCTTTTATCGTTTTCCTTTTCCTTTTTATAAAAGGAAACAAGAGGGCTATAGTGATTCTAACAGCATATCTTTACTTAAGAAGTACACAAACTCAGTATGTTCCACAGTAAAATTAGACTCACTGAAGAGTGGGTACTGTCAAATCTAGAACACTTTGAAATATTCATAAATAGCCTTTTTTATTCAGTGGATAGAAATAATGCCATACTTAACTGATTATAAGGTAAATAAGTCTCCTTGGGATTTTTCAGGAGGTAGCCAAATGTATGAAATAAAATTTAATTACAGAAGCATATCAGAGGCATGTAGACAAATTTTAATTTTCTATGTAGAGGCAGTTATTTTTTTTTTATCATTTAAATATATTTTTTATTTTTATTTTTTTTTTCAAAATTTTATTGATAAACAGCAATGAGACAGTTTCAAATCAAATCGAAGTACAGTTTCAACAAATAACACACTGCATATATTCTTAGTGGTTAATTGCTGTACAAGATGCGGACTTGAGATCCTATTTACAAACACCATTAGAACAAATCATTCTATTCATTAAGAGAATGCAATT